AAAAAGCTTTCAAAAGGAGTTTGATTTTCCTTCATTCAAGTATTTCCAAAAGATTTTGAAAAAGGTACCAATTCCTTATCTTAGCTGCCAGAACTTTTGAACATTTTGATTTCATGTGTTCTACATTTCATGTCATGGTTGCGACACCTTCAGATGCTAGAGCTTTTGAACATTCTGATTCTGTGTAGTATTGCACGCTTTGAAGTACGGTTTCAACACCTTAGTTTACATTCAGCTTGCAATGTTTGGAAAAATTCCAAAAAGTTACCGACACCCATATAAAGGTTCTGAAACCTTAGTTTAAAGTTCCAAGGTTCACATTACAAATTCAATTCTTTCCATATTAAAGTATAATGGCTAGTTTTTTGAAAAGATAAAACTTTTATTATAAATATAATCTTTTGGAGGCTTTCAAGTTCAAGAGTGTACTCAATTATTCAAGAAAGAATCGAAGTTTTCTTCGTCATTCAAATACCTTGGATTTTAGCATTTTCATATTCTATCTTTGAGAGATCATTTTTGTACTTTTAATTTTTTCCTCACTTATTACGATTCAATAACGCCATAAGTTATGAGAGAATTAGATAGCTTTGTGTAATCTAAGCCAAAAGAGATTCTAACAAAGGGAGGTTGATAGCTCACATTAAAGCTATTGTCAATTTTAGCAGTTTCTTTAGCAACCATTGAAGCTAAAGTGTTAGTAAATTACATCTCAAGTGTCAAAAACTCAAAGATTGGATGTAGGCACCAAAGATAGTAATGAACTTAGATAAATTCAAAGTATTTGATATTTCTAACTCTATTTTTTTAATTTTCGCAATTTATTTACTTAGTTTCAATTGCTTGTGAATCGTTTGTGAGTGTTCTTCAATTTTATTTTAAAAGTTGCAAAAAGTTTCAAATTTCCAAATCACCCCCTCTTGGGTTGCCATTGAGGACAACATTAAGCAAAACAAAATGAATGATTAATTTGGTTTGGTTTGATTCTTCACTACTTTAATGATGAGTTAGATTTGCAAAAGTTAGAAAAAGAGAGGAAGAATATTTTTTTTATTTAATTAGATAAGTTAAAGAAAATTAATTATAAAATATTAAATATAAATATTAATTATTTTATTAATAATTTATTATTTTTAATAATTAAATTAAAATAAAAAAATTAAGAATATTATAAATATTGACAAATTTAACGGTGTACATGCATACACATAGGCGGCTGGCTGCTTCTTCCCTCTTTGTTTATATTTTTTCGTTCTTTTTCTTCGAGTGCAACTTTGTCTCTGTATGGTCCCTCCTCAATCTTACTTTTCCAAGTTCCCACTGACCATAGAATTCTTGCACCTCTCTATCTCTCCTTCCCTCAACTCAGAGGGGCCCCTTCTGCCTTCTCTTCATCTCTCTAAATTCGGCATTCATACTAGCTGATTCCATACCTAGCTTCCTGCATGCAAGATTCTTCAAGCCTTTTCTTCTCTAAGTCCAATTCTGTTTTATTATTAATCTTCAGTGGGCCGATCTTGGTCTGCTTAGAAAAGAACAGATGCTAGCATTGTTCTATATAAGTCTTTCAAAATGGGGGGCTGGGGAGAAGTAAAATACCTATATGATCAGATCCAACAACGCAGGATCTCGTAATGCTGTTGTATTAGTTAATTATTGCACTCTGATGGATGCTGTGTTCTTTCTGAATGAAGCGGATCGCACCAACTTACTCCAGTTGCTCATGCAGTCTTTCGGCTGCACTTACATCTGTCTCTGGTCCTACATTACCCAGCCATTCAAGTACGTTCATCGATCCACAAAATATATACACAGATCATATTCTTAACTGCTATTTTTTTGCTTACCTTCTGATTTTTTAAACAGCTGTTTGACATTTCATGATGGATGTTACAAAGATGAAAGCAACCAACCCAGTTCCCCAACTGGAACCCTTGCTTGGAGGCTGTTCCTTGAATATCAACAATCACGAATTCCAATCGAAAATGAGTATGTATATGATCAATAAATACAGAATTATGCATCAATTAGTAATTACTCTATTGTATTATACATATTTCATATATAATTGAGCATATGCATGTGATGCAGCAGCCGTGTTCCGGGATTTGCGTTCAGGAATAGCAGGTCATACTTTGAGTTGAGGGATCTTGATCTTCAAAGACTGTCATCAAATGACACACAGCGCCAGTTTTACCTGGTATGATTTTTAAACATTTGGCATATTTGTGTAGGATATATCTCTGTGCCAAAAAAAACCTAACAATGTTGTGTGTCTGTCTTTGTTACAGGAAGCAAGGATTAAGGTTTGTTTGTTCCCCTTTTCTATTAAACCCATATGGGATGGAGATCTTAATTAAACTTCAAAAATAGTCCTAAAATGCTTCTTCTTAATATTCTACATACTCTATAAATTCAGAGAGCAGTTTTCATGGGATTTAGAGCTGGCGAGATTGAACTAGGTTTCTCCAATGAAACACAAGTAAGATTTTGTTTTTTAATGTTTGATTAATTTGTTTATAAAATTTGTTTCTTAAATTAATGGAGTTCTTTTCTTAATCAATAGATTAACATAGAGATGGGGATGAGGGAGTTCTTCCCAGAAGAATTTTTGCAGTTGCCGCCGCCGCAGCCGCTGCCGGGTTTAGGAGAGCTTCCACAGCAGCTAACAGTTGATCCAAATCCAACCATGGCAGTTTCTTCTTCTTCATCATCATTGAGATCGCTCTCCACTGGCAGCCCGGAGTACTCTTCTCTCATTTTTAACATTCCAAGCTTATCTCATATAGCAACAGAGGCAACCGATCACTCTACCTCGCTGCCACCAATTTCTAGGAGAAACCCTGCAGCTGCCACTAATCCTCACCACCAAGCAATGCAAGCCTTATGTCAAATCCGAACCTCTCCGCTGCCATCCCTAGAGTCGGAGCACGCTATAATGACACAGGCCTTCTTGGCTGCTCTAACCTCTCCTCCTCCTTCTTCTACCTCTGCTTTGCACCACCGTCCCCAGGAAAATCTGCCTTACAATTACCAGCTAAACCCAAAAACCAGTGCTTTCAAGCGTTATGCCACTCCAGCCCACTTAGCCCCAACAACACCTCAGACAAGAGCCAGTCTACAGGGGCAGAATATGCTAAATCGATCAATTTTGTATTATAAACGTTTACACGCAGTCAGGCGCCAACTTGGTCTCGGAAGCGGTGGTGGCAGCCATCCCACCAGCACCCAATTACAGCATATAATGTTGGAGCGCAAGCGGCGCGAGAAGCTCAACGAGAGCATCCAGACCTTGAAATCACTTCTTCCTCCAGGAACAAAGGTACGTATAATGTACAGCACAATAGCTCAATTACATGATATTTGCCCGCACTTAATAAAAATTCTAAGTTATTATTTTAGAAAAAAAAAAAAAAGTTTGTATTGTCTGGATGATTAAATTGTTTGATTTTTTTTTTTCTCGAATTTAGAAGGACAAGATATCGGTGCTTAATAGCACAAGCGAGTATTTGAGCTCCCTAATAGCTCGAGTATCGGAGCTCAGTCGCAAAAACCAGTTATTAGAGACGCAGCTATTGCTGTCAAGGGAAGCGGTGGAGGAAGTGGTTGAAACTTCCTCGAACGAAAGAACGAATGTTAGAATCATCCATAAATCGGAATCAACCTCCGAAGAAAGGTTCATCGACCTTAGAATCAGTGTGAGGGGAGAATGCTGTGTAATGGATATGTTAATTCGGTTACTGGAATTCTTGAAGCAAGACAGAAATGTCAGCTTGATGTCCATGGAAGCAAACACCATTGCAGCAGAACCAGGTCCTTTGAACAACATAAATTTCAGATTAAGAATTGAGGTTTGAAAATTAGTATCCTTTTCCTCCTACTTTTTTTTTAGAGATTACGAATTTTCAAATTAACTTTTTCAAAGCAAAAATGTGTATGGAAAAACGTTAATGGTATTAATAAATCACTAAGTATGTGCAGTTCATTAAGGATACAGCATAACCAAAAGATATTTAAATAATTTTATGAATATTGTTGTACCTTTTTTTAGGTACAGGTTGGTATTTATAATTAATTTTATGTAGATTTTCATATTAAATTTATGTTTTTTATAGGTTTTAATGATAAATATTATATTTTGTTTTTATTTTATATTTTATTTTAATTAAATTTAATATAAAAATTTATATAAAATTAATTACAAATACTATAATTAATGATGCTTAACTTATATTTTAAGAGCAAGAGTTAGATAATTCCTTTTCTTAATTAGCTGTGGAATACTTTTGTTTTTTTGTTTTTTTTTTTTAAGAAGTGTCCAATATCTTTTTAGGAAAATGATTTTGGGACAATCTTTTTGTATCATCTTTTAGTACAACTTAATGTGTCATTTAAATAATTGATTCTTTTTATTCATGTGAAACCTATAATATTGAATGCGTCCACTCATTTAATAACATATAAAAATTATATCAAAAGATAGGATAAAAAGATCACCCTTATAGCATCATCCTACATTTTTAT